GCAGAGTTCAGTCTTGTTGGGAGTGAGATAAATTTTACTAATGGAAATTAGTGGTTACAAATAAATATAGGATGTAAACCGTGGGATGGGCTTACTGAGTGCTTAAGCGGTTAACCAAAGTCTCAAAGTTGTTGTTGTAACTTGTGGCCTGTGTATCCTGTTAAGGTATAACGTGATGACACCGCCAATTAGAGAGCAGTGAATTATCGATCGGACCAATAACGCACAAAACACGTGCAAGCAGTCTACAGTTCTTATCGATCCTGCTTCCTACCTATCCCTGCCTGTTAAGTCCAGAACACCAATCTCAGCTTCTGTGATATTAATCATTTATTTCAAACATACTGGGTTTATTTACCATCCAGACAGACCACATCGTACCATAAAATACGAAACAACATTTGTACATGATTTAGCCAAAAGTGGCTGTGAATGTGGGAGGTATTAATTAATAGACAGGTCATAATTCAAGAATGGTAAATCGTATGACAATAGTTCATCGGTGCAAATAAAGCACCCAAATGCTCTCACATGGCCACGCGTATATAGTCTCTGCTCGGGAAGTCCTACTCACTGCCTTCTCGTGGTGAGTGTGTCGTTTACGGAAATGAGAGGACGAAAAGCGAATGTCCGGCGCTTTAACCGGATTCCAAATCAATGTTGAACATGGGCTCCAGTATCCTGCGGGAAAAAATGGCGTGTGAACCATTTGTTGGTCACCGGCTTCTATGGGACTCCATCTCCTTACGATGCTCCACTTCCTTGTGGATCAGACCTTCAGGTCGAAGGCTCGGGGTGTGGCCCCCTAAGAAGACCACATGCTTCGGTTTGGGCACCCGTACAGTATCACAACCCTCACACATAGCGAATGAGATTTGTGTGGCGCACACCTATTTGGTGCCTCCTTGTACCAATATCTGTGTTAAAATAAAATAAAAAAAGCTCATAATAAGAGGGACACGAATATGAACAGTTTTGTTATTTAACAGTTATACGATAAAAATATCTGTTTCTTTGTGCTTAAACCTCACCATCCCTTCTTTGCTTAAATAGCTAGTTAGTTTTACTATTATTATTGTATAGTTCAAAGTCAACTGTGTGTAAGTACTTGCACATATCCCATCTTTTTCATTGTCTTCTCTAGGTGTGACTAGTTTTCAATTACTTACTTCCCCTCAGTTGAAATGATGTTATAAGATTTTAATTCATTCAATAAATTTTCATTAGGTAATAGCAGACAATTGTTTAGACTTGTTAAGGAAACCGGAATTAGGAACCCGACCGTTAGCGAAACAATCTCAGAGAAAGATGGACATATTATTCATTCTCAATCCAGGAGATTGGATCGATGGGCAGAACACTTTAGGGATCAGTTCAACTGGCCTTCAGCCACACTTCGGTTTCCCACGATCTCCAGTCAACCTGAATGGCAAGTTAATGTAGGTCCTCCGTCCCTTTACGAAGTTGAAAAAGCCATAGGAAATCTGAAACGAGGGAGAGCAGCAGGCCCTGACAGGTTTACTCCTGAGATTTTTAAGTATGGTGGTCCAGTATTAGCAATGAGATTAACCGAGGTCTTAGGTAGAATTTGGGAACTGGACGTAATCCCATCTGACTGGTCTCAATCACTGATTGTGCCAGTTTTTAAGAAAGGACAAAATCCTCTTGTGACAATCACAGAGGAATCAGTTTGACTAATATAGTGTCTAAAATATTAGCCTCAATAATACTTCGACGCCTAACTAAAGCTCGTGAAGAGCAGACTAGAGAAAACCAGGCTGGTTTTCGACCTTGACGTGGTTGTATAGATCAGATATTCACACTACGTCAGGTTCTAGAACACAGACACACATTCAGACGCCCCACAATGGTAGTATTTCTCGACCTTAAGGCGGCATTCGACTCTATTGATCGTGAGGTTCTATGGCAGTGTTTGTCACTGAAAGGAGTACCAAAGAAGTACATTAACCTTATAAAGGCTCTCTACTCGAACACAACTGGTAGAGTGAGAGCTTATGGCGAACTGTCATCAGAATTGATTACCTCAAGTGGTGTTCGTCAGGGCTGTCCACTCTCTCCATTCTTCTTCAACTTTGTCATTGACGTACTTTTAGAGATAACACTCTCCTCATCTAAATTTACAGGGGTTGAACTTCTACCAGGAGGTTCACTTGTTGACTTAGAATATGCTGATGACATAGTTTTATTTGGTGAAGACGCTGACAAAATGCAGAGTCTTCTGACCACTCTAAGCAACAATGCAAGCATGTTCGGGATGCGATTCTCTCCCTCGAAATGCAAAATGTTGCTTCAGGATTGGGTTACATCGACACCCGAACTAGTGATAGGGAGTGAAGTAGTTGAGTGTGTCGACCGCTTCACTTATCTTGGAAGTCTCATCAGCCCTTGTGGTTTAGTGTGTGACGAAATCTCAGCACGGATACAGAAGGCTCGACTAGCTTTTGCCAACTTGCGTCATTTATGGCGTAGGCGAGATATCCGTCTATCAACCAAAGGACGTGTTTACTGCGCAGCAGTTCGTTCCGTCCTACTTTATGGCAGTGAAACATGGCCGGTAAGAGTAGAGGATATCCGTAGGTTACTAGTATTTGATCATAGGTGTCTTCGAAACATTGCTCATATATCATGGGACCATCGAGTAAGTAACACAGTTGTTAGGAAACGGGTACTAGGTAAGGATGGCAAATCAATTGATGAAGTAGTGAAACTTCATCAGTTGAGATGGCTGGGACACGTGTTACGTATGCCCTACGACCGACTGCCTCGACGTGCTATGTTCAGTGGTATAGGAGTAGGTTGGAAGAAAGCTAGGGGCGGCTATACTAAAACACGGCACAGGTCCATGAAGTCACTGACAAGTGGACTGAGTCATATTGGTAGGTGTAGACTACCTGGTTGGGGTCCGCGAGATGATAGCAACCGATGGTTAGAGACCTTGAATGACATGGCTCAAAATCGTTTGTAATGGCGCAGGTGCATCCACTCTTTGTGTTCTCTCAAATTCTAATCTTCTGAATGCTTCATGTCTTTTATTTTCTTTCCAATTTTTTTCCACTGGTTTATACTCTCTAAATAACATTTGTAAACCCTAATCTTCCCGATTACAGCTTACACTCTCACTACATCTACCACTACGGAATTTGAGTCGACAACTGCATCTCTGTGTTAATGTGGTATGGCAACTCGAACTGATGTACGTACGTACGAAGTTCTACGTTGTTACTGACTGACTGAATAAATTTTCATTGTCTATTCATGGCTATTCATTTTCCTCAAACTTCAGTTAATGATTTTCTCATTATTGATATGTATGTGTTGCCTTTTTTTGTTTTCACTAGTTCACCGACAATCAAAACTTCTTTTATTTATCTGTATTTGTTTGAATTTTCTCGTTACTGATTTTAAGGACTTAATTAGGATTAGTTTGACGATTTAAACACTAGCCATTGGCTATCAGGACTTAATAGGTCAACAGATAACGCTTTCGGGATTTTAAATGAAAGATACAGAGTTCAAGTCCGAATGTGAATATCAACACTAAAGGAGATATATTTAACTAATAAATCTCAGCTAGTGCAAGACGCCCTTCCAGAATCTCATTATTAGCCCTTATCCATCTTTACTTTAATTAAAGCTTATGTATTATGTTTAAGCATATTCAGATCACTTGTACATCTCAATTATATTTGTGTTGCACTATTACAGTCAATATGAACTTGTACACATTATGAACTTTTGTCCTAAATTAAAGTATGATTCTTATCATAATGTTTTTGTTAGATTATACAGTAATCAATTTTCACATCATTCAGAAGGTGTTATATATTGAAGTAGACCGATGTTTTTAACTTTAGTGCTTAAACGGATTAATTTTTACAACTTAGTTTCTCGTATAAAAGTGTTTGTTAAAATACTGATTAAATCATGACAAATTGATTTCTCTTTAGTTTACTATAAGTGATAAATGTTAATTAGACCAAACTTACTAAACTGATTTCACAAACATGATACTACTGTATGGACGAAGTATTATAGGTTAGTAATAAAACTAGCAGTTTTGATGAGATTAGAATTTAGCACACATGTAAAGAAACTACGTCTGGAACCCTTCTGGGGCTACTGCCGGTCCCAAGCCCGGATAAATGGGGAGGGTTTGGCATGGGGTTGGCGACCCCATCCCGTAGAAAATCAACTCGCTCAAAAATGCTAACACACGGAAAGAAGCTGTCAGTTGTCTAAAAGCACTCCCAGGGTAGTTGTTGTTTACTTTTAACTTTTCTATTACAAATCATAACTAACAATATTTAAAACAAATTTATTTAGATTGTGTTTACTTAGGATTTGAAATAATTGGATGTTAAAAGATAATATAATAGATTGTCACTGATTGTTTCATCGCTAAACATTCATGCTATACTATTCAGTCATAATCAGCGTTGAGTCTTGCACATATGTGGATTAGCTCAAGTTACCATATCTCAGTTGTACAACGAGATGAAATTAACAAACCAAAAGAATCGAAAAAATTCAGTGGCAAAGACAATGAAAGGCTGAATAATGAGAATAAAATTCTAAAAAAAAATATGTAAAAAGGAATACTGCGACTGAAGATCTAGATCATGGGGTTAAATATATCTGTAATTAGTTCTGATCTATTTTACCCGTCTCCAACCATTGTTAACGATTATCGAGTGTATCTCACTATTTAGTTAAAATGAATAAATTATTTGATTGCATGATCTGTGCAGTTAACATCTAATATTTATCTTATTCAAAGATGGATATAATAATGGTTCCATTAAGAGTTAATAAAACACGAAAAATAACTTAATTCATTTTACAATTCTATAACTAATATATTTACTAATATCTTTTCTAATCTTCTACAAGGATGATATTGTTTACTGTGGATATAACTCAGAATGTAGTAACTATTCCACAGATAAGTGATTAAGTGCATTATGAATCTTACTGTTCATATGGAAAGGCTCAATATAGAATCAATGTAAGCTAACTAACCAGGTATCGTCAAATCTGTGATAACTATATTCTCCAAAATACAAATACTGATCAGTTGACTGTTGCTTCTGTGTTCTCTGCTTTATATCTAATAGTAACTCAGTCTTTCGATAAAGATTTTTGACAGTGATATTAAATTGTTCCATTAACATTAAAAACTAATTATAATAATTCATTATTAATGTTCTCAGTTAATATTTTGACTGGAGATTCTAGCCTAGTTGTATACATCACAAATCCTGAATTTCTCATAACTTTTTTTTTGTTTTAATTTCAGTAGTTTCTATTTTCTTACTGAATTATATCTTTAATGTCCAATTCTTCCTATTACAAATGATGCTGTTATAACCTCTTTATTTATTTAAACACATAAACATTGGTGCAAGGAGGCATTAGACAGATATATGTCACATAAATCATTCAATTTGTTTGAGGCTAGGATACTGCCGCATGCCTGAACCGAAGCATGTGGTTTTCTTAGAGGGGCACACATCGAGCCTTTGGCCTAGAGGTCTAATCCACAAGACAGTGGACCAACGTCAGAAGATGCAATCACATAATAGCCAGTTACCAACAATAGGTTCATACGCCATTTGTTTCCTCAGGATCCTGGAGCCCATGTGCACTATTGGTTTGGAGTCAGAGTTTTCCAACTCCTCTAGGTGGATCCTCCATATCCACCAACCCGGTTAAAGCACCGGACATTGGCTTTTCGTCTTCTCAATTTCGTAAACAATACCCCCTACCGCGAGAAGACAGTGAGTAAGACTTCCTTGGCAGTGGTTGTATGCAGGTGTCTATGTGATAGCATTTCGAGAGGGAGAGTTAACTCTACCCACTTTCAGCCGTACCAGGGCATTTAAGGGCGTTATTACTACTGCTACTCTGGAATTCGGCCTGACAACTTCATCACTATGCGGTTATGAGGTATTGCAACTTGAACCGATATACATATGTACAAGATTCTAAGTTGTGACTAACTGAGTAACATACAGAAACGTTTCATCAATGCTATATTTGTGTATTTTACTTTAAGCTATCGCACTCAATACGACACTAACAATAACAGGTCATGATAACAAATAATCCTCAGATAGTTACGTGATAAACTTGATTTTTTAATGAATAACATGAAATTTCTTCGAATTACTGCACTTCTGAGTTTGAGTCTGCCACATTAGGTCTTTCCATTGTGTTTTATACATCTGTCTTCCACTTGAATTACATTGATTCCAAAACATGAAAAATGATCTTTTAAAGCTATGTAATTTGTAATTAGCTCAGGGAATATACTCACAGGGAGATTATTAACTAGTAATAAAAAAAGTTGGATAAAATAACGCATATTTTGCATTATACATCAGTAAAGATTATTTTGCCAAAATGGGTACGATCACCTTTAGCATGTGTAAGTCATTTGAAACTTATCGAGTCCAACTTTTCTTGTTATATCTTCTGTACAAACGGTAATATATAGATCAGAACACGTACGTCACCAGCTTGAAACTCCGAAGTTCAGCTCGTGAGATAATATCCCGTTAGAATTTACTTTCTTATAGTGTTTGATAATCAGTTAAGACTCGTGTACATATATTTTATTTACTTGGGTTATCAGTAATAAATAATCATACTGATCCAACGGTATCTAGTTATATACAACACAAAATCCTCTTGCTTGAATTTATTTTTCGCTGAAAAGCACCGCTGCTGAAATACTTTAAAGGGAGTATTGTTTAGTACACTATAATATTTCAGTACATTTTATTAAAGAGATGGGTTTGTTCACCATCGACTACCAGTTGACAAAAGCTAAGTACTGTCATTGTCCCTTTTTTTGTCCCGATTGGAAACTTCTTAATAGTCCAAACAAACGAATCAATAAAAGATTCAGCTCAAAAGACTTTGTTATATAACGTTATAATTAATAAATCTCATTTCTAAGTTATCCTATTACCTACTTGATTGACATTACAAGTCACAGCCTCTTTGTAAAATCCACCCAAACTTCAGTCGCTAATACGTATATTAAAGGATCGTTTTCTGGGAATTTTTTTTACAAACTGACGAGTGTTTTGAATATTGTATCCACTCTGATGTCTGGCTTTAAGATTGATATTTCAATGCATTAGATTGTTATGCCCCGATAAGCATAAGGAATGGTAACTTTTTGGGTCCATTCATGGACCAATACTATGTCTATATTTTTATCGTATAATTGTTAGATAACTAAACTATTCATATTCATGTCCCTTTTATCATGAGCTTCATTTGGACCTATGAACTATTAATATACTATTTATCATTCTTGGATTATGACCTGTCTAATTAATACCTCCCACGTTCACAGCCACATTTGGCTAAATCATGTACAAATGTTGTTTCGTATTTTATGGTACGATGTGGTCTGTCTGGTTGGTATATAAACCCAGTATGTTTGAAATAAATTATTCATATCGCAGTGGCTGAGATTGATGTTCTGGACTTAACAGGCAGGGCTACGCAAGGAGCAGGATCGTTAAGGACTGTAGACTGCTTGCACGTGTTTTGTGCGTTATTGGTCCGATCGATAATTCACTGCTCTCTAATTAGCGATATCATCACGTTATACATTAACAGGGTACACAGGCCACAAGTTATAACATGGATGATCTAAAATCATTAATGAGAATGGTTAAAAGTTATCGTTCTAGATATAGTACGAAGTTACCATAACTGGACATATAAAACATCTAATTCTGATTCATTCAAAGAAAAGAGTTTTGCTCACTTGATTGCTGTTAGAGGTACTTGAAAAGGAAACTGTATTGTGAGTGATCGATAAGATCTAAAAGCGTGACCACATTGCTCAATGGACAGTTGTTTTAAGATCAGCCAAATAAGGGTTCTTTGAGGATAGTTTTAAATGTGTTGGCTCAATACTTTTAAAGTGTTAGCATTGTTGACAGAAATTTAAGGGGCTATCCAGTGTTAAGATATGTTATGTTGAATGGAAATCATGTTACTTACTTTGTACACCAACACTTACCATGTGACATCGAACCGTGAATATTTCCTTTTTGTTTTATCAGTTGTCACAAATCTACTGATTAATTCATTTAAATTGATTCCTATCTATGTCCATAATATTGGGCTTGATAAACAGAAGTTATTTAATTGCTTTGATGGATCTGCTTTTTTTATTCGTCAACTTCCCTGAATTCCTTTTCATCATATATGTTAATATATATATTGTTGCTTTATATCGTAAACTGTAGGCTGCCAATGTTGTAAATTCAGTAAAAACTCGTCCTCGTGTCCTATCATTGTATCGGCAAATATTTAGAATTGCTCGAATATGGCAAGCAAACTCTGGTTCAGTCGAAGATTCGTCACGCCAAGCTGATTATATAAAAGAGGAAGCAAGAACTTTATTTCGTCAAAATGCACATATTACAGATGAGATAGAAATTGAAGTAAGAGATGTGATCTTTCTTAACTCTCACTTTTAACACTATATTAGTTTGAGCAAAGTCTTGACTAATTAAAGCGACTTACGAAATTGATTACCTCCAGATGCAAATGTTTATTTTCATTAATACTTTGCATAAAAGTATACTATTTCGTTAGAAGGAAGTCCTTTTCTAATGGACAGCTGTTTTATTGGTTTGTAATCATTTGGATAACTGTAAGGGGGGGGGGTTTCAATAATTCGGCCTCGTGATTAACCACCAAGTAACCCCATAGTATCATATTGATATCATCTATCGACCAGCACTTTTCTGTTTCATGTAAACTGTCGAGAATTCACTAATCAAATTAGCCAAATTTTTATTTACAAAACACTGAGAGGGTGTTCCAACATCCTGGACTGAGTCGATAGTTAACCCTATCTTTAAAAATGGTTCACATCGTTTCTATAACAACTATCGGGTGATAATTCTTCTTCTGATCGCGTCCAAACTATTGGCTTCTGTTATACTCCGTAGGTTGTTCAAAACCCGAGAAAGATTGACGCGCAAGGATCAGGTTGGTTTTCGTTCTGGTCAAGGATGTATTGATCATATCTTCACTCTCCGCCAAATGTTAAAACACCATCATACTGATCACAGGCCAACAATCGTAATGTTTCTTGACATCACGGATGATTTCGATTCGTTGAACAGGACTGTTCTCTGGGATTATCTATTGAAGAAAGGTGTGCCTGAGAAGTTTATTAACGTCTTGAAAATCCTATATGCAAACACCTCAGGCAGAGTGAGGGCATACAACCACAACCCTCCATTGTTCCATTCAAGCAGTGGGATTAGGCAGGGTTACTCAATCTCACCATTCCTCTTCAACTTGGTCACCGATGACATTCTGGAAACGGCCCTGATGGATGTAGGTAATGGTGGTATGGATCTGTTGTCTGGAAAAAGACTTTTCAACCTTGAGTATTCGAGTGATATTGTCTTACTGTGCAATGATACCCAAATCATGCAAGCATGAAATAAAGCTGTACATTACTGACCCCTATTGGTCCTTGTAGACTCAAGATAATGGCTCGAGACGTTATCATACATGGCACAGAATGGAAACCAGTGGCAATTTCGCTATAAATTTCTTTTAATTTCATGAAATTGGACGTAACTTCTTTAACTGAAATAATTCTTTCTAATTGTATTTATGCTGCCTGAACTGTTTCTGTCATTATTATTATTTCCCTTTCATACGCTAATTTCTATTCATTGTTGTTCTTTTTATAAACACACTTTACATTCTCCATCACTTCACAGCGCACTGTTATCGTGTAGCGCATATGTATTTGGTGTTATTGTTTTTGGTTGAATATTTGTTGGCAAATATAGACTAATCGATCGATTCTTACACGATGTTATAATCTCTCTTCTTACGGTTATGACCCAGCTATTCCTATTGCTTAGTATTCTCGGATACCGATTCACTCGACAAGTCCCCAAATAAAAACACGGTTGAACAGAAAAGAGATTATATTCCAAATAACAAGGTTAGATGGAAGTAAGAAGCAAGTCCGAGGCACAATGGAGAAAACGTCAGTGTATTTATAGTTTTTCACATAAGAAGATTCTAGAGTATTCTCCAACTATCGACTAGTGCTGATTGGCTAAGAATTAGCCAATCAGCGTGCACCAAAGCAATCGTGCATTGAGCATGCTTTAATCCGGTCTATTTCCTGCTAACACACGATTATCATGACTGACAATTAAAGACCTTGGGTTTAGAATCGGTTACATTAGTTTAGATGTATGCATTGTTGGTATCCTTGAGATTTTTCAAACTATTCTATACTATGTATTATTCAAATTCTTTTCTTTCAAATCATATTCTCTATGCCTAATTTTTTTCTACTATCACTGATACTGTTTTTCTAGTTCCACTACTCGAACATTCATTTCACTTGATAATTATATCTGACTGTACTTGAACGAATCCACATTTATCCCATGTTATACTTCGTTTATGACCCATGATGTTTTATTACTCTTTTCATATGTTTATTTTTTTTTATATACTTTATTTCATTCAAATAGAATCATATTAAAGAAGCTGAAGCCAGAATAGAATTAACTTTACATTATGGTACACCATATCCACGTTTAACTAATTTACCACCAAATACTTTAGCCGCACATATGAATACATCAACGAAGGGATCAACACCACCACCATCGTCTAGTGGAAGTTTTACAACAACAACAACAAATAATAGTAATAGTGTACATGAAAAGAGTCGAATATCACGACGAACTGAACGTGCATTATATGAATCTGTTCCAGCTTATTTAAAATCATATACTTATAGACCGAAAAAATGAGGAGAAACAGTATTATGTCATAAATTTTCGTTTCTTTTTTCCTTCGTTATTTAGATAGTAAATACAGATTCATTTAAATAGAAGTACGTTTTTCTTCTTATCTATTTGTGTTCTTATATTGATGAATCAAATTATTTATCAGGTATTGATTTCTGTATTTGGGATTTCAAAGCATACTCTAAGTAGGAATGCTAGTGATAATGATTGAGAAATTAATCTAAAGTGCTTTGAACCTGAGACTTAACGATTATTAGTTGAATGCCTCTACAATGAAGCCATCACTTCACGATGCTGACGCATAGGTTTCAATAAATATATTAAAAATTGATATAATAGTGTAATGATGGGATGACTGTATTTTGTGTTTTTGTCATTCACTCTTTGAGTAGTTGTACGTGATTATTAATAACGAAGTCTAGTCAGTTGTAGACAGCTTAGGATCTACTGCAAATGTGTATTAGTTCAAGTTATCACACACATCAACCTAACGGATGAAAATCAACAACTGGAAGATTGTACGGCGTCAACAATTTGTAGGTAGTATTTATCATATTGGTCTTATTTTGGGATACAACTAAAAACCGATTGACACCGGACAGTTTTTTGTCCTACTATGGGAATTCTCAGGAGTGCGAAATCAAGGCATTCAGGTCCTACTACAGACGCCTAATCACTAGAACCATTAAGCTGGTATCACATTTCTAAATTCAATCAGTTTGCAATGTAGCACAACAGTCGTCCAGTGCTACTGCTGACAATCGTCCCACTTTAGACATACCTAAATTCTATCAAAAACTGAATATGGTAATACCAATACATATTTAAACTTTAGATTTCGCAGAAGATAAGAAATAAAAATATCTGCTCATTCTCGACCAATTTTGAACTGTTTCTTGTAACCTGAAGGCATAGACTAATTTTACCGAATTAATTTCAACTGGTGATTTCACACTTAATGTAACTCAAATTGACAGTTAGTGAATTGCGCTGATTTCATGTCTGGAAGTCTAGTGGCTCCCAAATTACTCATAGCTTACTTTTATGGGTATAAGTAATACACGTTCCTATCCAGTCAATGAAAAATCAAAACTAATTTACCACCTTTATCCAGGTTCTTACAACTAACATCATTATTCATCCCGTGATTATTATACTATACCTGAGTACTGCTTTGAAGACATGTGAATGAATACTAACAGCCTACGCATCCTCATTACCGTCATAGCCATAAAGACATATATACCTTACTGCTGGGCAATATACTTTACATTTCGTTACCAAATAAACATGTCGCTTTCACCTTGCGTGTGTTCTAAATTGACAAATGACGTAGTACCTCTTCGGATACGGTAAAAGTCGTTGTATAATAGTTCCTGACTTTCAATGATCATCAGATAATTGTTAATTTTGATACAAACACTTTGGAATTATATGTGATTATCTAGGAAGCTTATTTAACTTTAATTTACAGATGGACTCAGTGTATAGTAAACCACTTGTTCGTTTCCTTACTTATAACGTTATACGATATATTCATTAAAAAAGACAAGAATAAATCATTTGCAGTGTACAGTGATCAGCTATTACTTATTTAGTAAACAATTGTACACATTGTTAGTTGTTAAACACAAACTCCAAGATGGAAATGATAACGCAACAAGATGTCCGTCCAAAATATCTTATTTACCAACTTTAAACTCCAGGCACCAAATACGGTATAGTGTAATTTTCTGATATTTTACTTAGTGATAATATTTTAATTTAATGTCAAAATAACTCGACCAAGAATGAAAACATGGACTAACCAACGTTTACTTGTTAATCCACCTTAATAAGTAGTAGTGCAAGTTCTATTCATAACACAGCTGAGAAGTTCCGAACAGGACGAAACATTTGTCCTAGTTTCTACTGGTAGCTACCGTTTAACTCAAGTTAGAATGGTTGTGAATTAAAGGTAATATCGAGACAATCCGCACAAACTAGTGCAAACGAATAATTAAGTACTTCGTCTTCAAATTAATAAATGTTAAAACACAAAACCAAATGATTATTTGTTGTATTTCAATTGCGTATAACCGATACACCAAACAAGAGGGCAGACACAGACTCACATACAACTACAAATAAAAGAGAAATAGGAATTATTTGTACTAAATTTACAGAAGAAAAATGCAACAACCGTTTTTAATATATCAGAATTAGATAAGTATAAGGTCTTTTGAATGTTAACATACTGAACAGTACATAAGTAAAACACAATATACAGGCAATTAAAATTTGACTAAGGCTAACATAATTACCAGTAAGCATAGTTTAGACCGAACCTATATGAAACAGTAGCATAAAGCATGAAAGAAAATTATACATAGTATCTGTACAGAATGATTGGTATTTGTGTATGTAAATGTGTGTGCAAGAGAGAGGAAGATGGAAAGTGGAAGCAAAAAACGATAATAGCAGTATAATCACTAAGTTACATTAACATATCGGCAAAATATTCATCAAATTCATCATCTTGTGTTTTGATGGTACCAACACCACTACCCGTTGCGGTAGAAGTAATTGAGGATCTTTTACTGCTATTCTGTCCCGATTGACTTGATGTACAACACCATATTGAATTCAGATCGGCAGATTTCTCTTCAGATGATAACGCTTTGATATTATCATTATTATTATTATCGTTAGTGTCATCAATACGTGGACGCTTTGAGGACGGGGAAGTACTTGAAGAGTCTATATTATTATCATCACCATTATTTGTTCCTTGTTGACTGGTGATGAGTTTATCGTCACCTTGATGTGAATTTAATTGTTTACCGGTAACATCTCGCTTCCTTTAAAACCAAAAGAAAAAAATAATGAAAATTAAACAAACGTTTTCTGTATGAAATAAAATGGAACAACTTGAATGCTGAGCATTTTAGCGGTTTCCATGTTCATTACTCAAAGTGTTGATTAAATCCAAGTTCGGCAGAATTTGTAATCAAACGCTAACAAACAAGAGGACTACTAAACACTACTGTATTTATTAACCAATTAATATTTGTCTTGATAATCTCATCATGCTGTGCAAATGTCGTGTGGCAAATTTGTCGTTATATTATTAAAATAACCCTTGAGATTTTATAAAATATTGAAATAAATGGATTAAAAAGCCACTGAAGAGACTGATTACTGACTAGTAGTATCCAGATCATACTTATCTATTCTTAGCATTGATTGTATACGATTAATCAAATTACAATACGGATACTAGTTTGAGTCGAATTCCAATGTTTTGTGTTTTAATATTTTAGAGGATTGAAAGTGATTGGCAGTAAGCACTGAGACTACAATAAGTCTAATATTTAGATTTTTTATCAGTTAACATCTGCTATTACGGGGGTGTTTGAACTTTTGAATAAAAAGAACCCTTCCTGTGAGACTCGAAATCCCGTCACAACTAAAAAGATATTACTTATAAACTATTTTATTCGAATACTACAAACAAAGCAAGTCAATCTATTCAACAACCACCTATTCAATAAAAACACATTCAACTAGTCAACATGCATCAATCTAGAAAAAGTAAATAATTGATAGACTAAACGTGTGACTAGAGGCTAGCATGTCACCCCAAAAAGCATTAGATATATTCAGATTACTTTTAAACTTATTTATAAAATACAACTAGGAATTGAGTTAGACAAAGGGTACTAAATAAAAGTCTGAAGCTGGTTAGAAGGCTGTGAACCTTTATCGACTGAAGTGATTAAGACATATATTAAGAATCTCTAACCAGCAACTACCATGAAGTGTAACACTGATTAAAACATAAATAAACTGAACAAGAGGTAAACGCTAGCAGAACAACATATCTCATCAGTATATGAAGTCAATGGCTAATGACTGAAACTTTCTAGTCAGTTGAGGACTACCAAATACTAGTAATCGACAGATGGAAATGTTGGGTGGAATGGAGGCAAATTTGGTCACAATGATACAGTTGCACTGACTATCTTCCTCTAAACTTAACTGCTTTTTTCGTTGAAAACATGTTTTTCCTTTGGCATTATATGTCTGATACTTAGATTTCCTTTGCAGCAGAAACCAGTTCTTCTTCCTTTGTTTTTATCAAGTTAATTTTCTCTGCCACTGGGGTTGATATGAGGTGTGGCAACCTGGACCGACAAATGTTCGTATCAGTTCTGACTCTGATGATGACTAACTGACGTCAATATGCATAAAGTACACCGTCCAGAAAAACATTTAAACTTCTAGTTCACTCAGCTCGAAAAATAAAAAACAAAATAATTAACCTCATAGTTCACACCAATGACTGATCTTAGACAGATATTGGCAAGCAAGAAGAATTGGACAGCTATTTTCTCCTAGTATGAGAATCAAATGTGTATATCGATAACCTTGCTAGAAATCAAAACCAGGAGGTTCTAGGTCTTGTGGTGAGTGCTTAAAATCCAAAAACTAAATTAGCATCCAAGTCCTGGCTTCACTGCCGGTGGGGTTATGGATGTGCATAGTTAAATAGTCTAATACTAAGACGAAACAGTAATCCAAAGTTTCTTGGTTTTCAATAGCTGTCTAAAGTTACCCACTTCATGATGTAAACCACCCAATTTAAAACTCCCAGAAAACTATATAGAAAGAAAAAGTAATCGCTAGAGGCGTAATAATGAAATCGGTGTGAAAAGCAAATTTGAATTTTAAAATAATTTGTAAGTCTGACTGACCGATATCGATAATTCAACTTCTCGGAACAAGGAGGACATAAACGTATTTTAACCAAAGCATTACGTCGTTCACCACGTTCCTGATAAACAAAATTCACTTCCCAACTACGAAGACGTTCAGATCCAGCTGGGCAAGCTACATTCCCACAAGTGAACTGACCTGAAATTTTTGTACAACATAATATATAATGAAAATCCAGTTAAGAGAATAGTAAGTCGAGTTTTTAAACCATATTTTGATATATATAAAGTCAATTTATACTATTCAGTTTCTAAAACGAAAGTTGGCAAAAAATGATACTAATTGTTAATTTAGCGGCTAAAAGCGATGTATTGAAACTACCGGCAATTTTATACTTAAATCACCGATACTTTTACAAAGGTTAAAGGGTCAACCGAACAACTTAACTTGTATCACTTTAGCTAACCTAATCTTATAGAGCTAGTTTTTTCTGGAAATGAATAAAATAACCAGTTCTTTTCTTTTCAAAAATACAATGAAACACTGATAACTAGTTAGTAGTATTGAAAAGACAAGTTTTTATTGAGCAAACAAGAATAAAGACAATTCTTCAGTGAAGAAATCTTTCTTCCAAGTGATATTATTTACTGAAGCTGTATAGACATCTTTATAACTGTGTAATATATAAATATTTGTCTAGTGAAAAACAAAGTAGAAATGTCTGAGTATATTGTTTTGATGAGATTTTTCAAAATTGAGTTGCTACTCAGAGATATGTTTTAAAAAAAAAACAGGTTGTATTGTGCAGTCGATATTAATTTCGAAACTTGTTCTAATTTACATTGATTATACAGAAATTTTGAACTTTGTGATTATACTATTCATGTCTTAATTATTGTCATAGACTGATATCAGCTGAAGTAATTACTAATGAAAATCACGAAGGACAGTATAGAAAAAATTATGCAGTGTGTCACGATGACTGTTCTGTGTGAGTATAACCACTGACATTCCGTTTTAGTACGTAATGAGATTTATTTGTCAGCTGACGTTAATTCATGGCTAAGGTCATCTTTAAAGTTAGTCGATCTCTAAAAACTACTTTAATCTAATACTTTCTTAATCGTTATTGTCATAGATAATTCTGAATGTCAGTGAAATACAATTAAATAACCAAATTCCGACTGGTAATAACATGATTATTAACTATTTAATATACTTAAACCTTAATCTAAATAAACGTTATTTTAATTTACCTGATCAGACAAAAACAAAGTATGACCTAGAAAACACATGGGTGTGTCCAAGTTTACAAATTATTATATATCAACATAGGAAAATGAAATTAAAACAAGCATTGGAATAGTAGAAAGAGAGTAGTAACAATTAATATACTTGATAAGGAGTTAATTAATATTTTATCATTTAGATAAACAGATCTCTTTGTACACTAGTAAATTTAGTCCCGACCGGGATTTGAATCGATAACTGCATCTCTGTGCTAATGTGGTATGGCAACTCGAACTGATGCACATACGTACGAAGTTCTACGTTGTTACTGACTGACTAAATTTAGTCGATAATGAATATAAAAATGTTATAAAGCAGATATATTGAACTCTCATGAGAAAAAAACACTAACCTTGCACGGATACATCAGAATGAAGACAACAGAACTTCCTAAAACCTACAGTTGTTTTACTCTAGAATATATAGTTCCGTAGTATGTTGTTATCTTACAAGAACATAAGTGAAGTATGATATAATGCATAAAATGAAATTCATACGCAAACATTATGAACTCGGAGTAAATAATTTTTCATAAACAAACTATGCAATGCATACCTTTACCGGAGATCACTTCTTTTTCTAATCTCCATCTCATACCAAACTGTAAAGAAACCAAAAAAATTGGAAATGGAAATTTAAGTAGAAAGTAGACATGATTAGGTGTAGGATTTTTAAGAGAAACTGGAAAATTAATTGGAAAGTTACAAAATGAAATCCAGAATAGTATGCAACTATAACTTTAAAAACTATAATAAAAAAAGATATATAATTTAATTGTGAAGTTTATTAATAGGGTTCTCAGATAACATCACTAGTGCTTTAAGACAGGGACTGGAACGCCCACCAAAAGTGCCCATCCGCTTAAAATACGAATTAGTCCTATCATTCCAAAATGATATATGGACTTCCGTAAATAATTGTTAGACATTTTGGGTGACATGATTCAAAACTGTTTGCAAATGATCTATGTGCATTCACTGTTTATCTCCCCTTGAGTTCCAAATTTATAAATTGCTTATAATTTATTTACCATTTTTCGAATTTATACTTCCTTCTCGAATTGTATCTTAAATGCCTAATCTTTTCTATTAACATTTTTACTATTAAAACCTCTACTATTCTAAGATCTACCATAGAAATCTCATCATGCCATGCTAATGGAGTACGGTAAATTGGACCTATGTCCAAGTGTGCCGCGTTCTACTTTGTGTACGACTAAGTGACTGATTGATATACATTGTTTTCAGTCAGTAACAAAGTAGAACTTCGTACGTACATCAGTTGGAGTTGCCATATCACATTGTTTTGGAGGTGATCCGTTCTCTTTGAACTGGATAATGTGATTGGATTCAGCCATTCAACTTAAAGAATACAGTACTTCAAAAATTATCGCTATTAACTCGATATTTACCTCAAATTTAATATTCATATAAGAGACAAGTATTAACAAAGATAATTAGTACAAGCAATAATAAACTTTAAAAATTCACAGTATATATCAGTTCAATAATGTAAAAGAATTTTATCAGACAGAAAACGCTACTACCTTGCAGAAAATACAAATATAATACTGTTCAAAAATACAACTCAAAACCAACGTTTAACACTAAATTTTATCATTTAGAATGAATTGCTTTTCCTTATCGAAGATAATACTATATTCATCAGCATTCAAATTGAGGATGACTTATTCGATCGCGTAGTATTTATAAGGACTTATTTTGAAAATCTCCTTCTTGATAATTACGTCACCATGATGTTACAATTAAGTTGATTAATTGACCAAGCAACCATATAAAGATAAAAGTCACAAAGAATATATCACCACTGAGTGATGTAATTAGTAAATTATTAGAGTACTTGGGGCTTTTTTATTTTTAAATCTATGGTAGAATGATTCATGAATACGACCGAATGACACCAAGCAATATAACACATAAATATATCTCAAGATCCCTCTATTATTTGGTTATACCTATATATAAGTGTAGCAATACTTATTAAAACTCTAATTTATAAAAATGACAGGATTTATATGACCCAATAGCAAGACTATAATTTATGGACGAACCAATCAGATTTAGGATAATAGGTCTTGGATTTTGGCAGGAAATTCACTCACCCATTCGTCCAGTTCGTGATGAAAAGCATAAATCTAAATCTTAACCCTTACCATTAACTGTAAATCATTGTCTTTATTCTTCAAACTGCTTTATAACCTTCATTTAGCCCTAATAATTAGGTAGATACTCTCGGTGTGACCTTGGCGTCACTCAAAGGTCGTCCATAAATTGTAGTCTCACCAGACCCAGTAACTTAATGTAGTAAGTAACATCAATTAATTTGTGTATTCTATTCACTTAAACTTACCTTATTTTCTTTGTAGCGTGATAAATCAATAAGGCAATATTCTTTAAATAGTTTTTCCCAGTATTTTTTAGCAAGACGGTCGGACCTTTGAAGAGACAATAATGTTGTATCAATTAAGATATAGAAATATCATATATGAACAACAATTTGGTTAATAAACTGGGAAAAACAAATGTTTACATTGATAAGATAGTAAAATTGACTAAAAAGTGGAATATGTAGTTAAGTAGACTGTACAAAACAATGTGTTTACTAGCTAGGTTGAAACTTTGTTAACATGAAAAGTTGATTATCTCAACGACAAAAATATGGTTTTTAAAGGAAATAGGTGAAACCTAATTGATACAAACAACGGTGCATACCAATGCAAAATGTATTCGATAAGTTTAGTCAAGGCCCAAACAATTAAAGCTAATTAACTGTAACTCACCAAGTACAGCCATTTATACGGACTAGATAAAGTGTTTGTAGGAGTTAGTGATAATACTAGGCTGTGCATATCGAAAAGAGCGGAAGCACAAGTTAAACTTGTGGCCAGATAACTGAAAGTCGAGTGTTTTGATGAGTGCGTGAAAATGTTTAGGAAAAAGTAACATTTCAGTTAACTTTATATTCCTTTTAAAACAGTCAATCTGTCGTGTGTGAAGTAGGATATGACATGCACCAACTCAAATCGGCACACTTCACTAGCACAGAGAGAAAATTATCCAGAAAAACCCCACAGTAGAAATAGTAACAGTATCAGCAGTAGTAGAAAAGATCAGGTGTGAAAAGAAGTACGAGATTTCGGGACTTAAGTTCTAAAGGAAGACAAAGAATGAAGCACCTGAGCCGTTGCGAACGATTTTGAGACAGTTCACCTTAAGTCTGGGGTGATAACTACACAAAACCTAACCAGATAGTCTGCACTTATTTACATAGCTTAGTTCAGTTTTCAATGACTACATGTATTGGTGCCGGATTTCGATTTGGAGATCTCTAACCTTCAACAAGTGAGTCCTTTGGTAGGTGATTAACCCATGGAATGTGTGGCAATGGATGTATTACTTAAAATAAAGTCTACAACTAAGCTAAATGAAAACGTATAAGGTAGACAGCCCCGACGAACACCACTTGGGGTTACGAATCTGATGACAGTTCTCCATAAGCTCTAGCTCAACCAGTAGTGTTCGAGTATATATTCATGTATTATATTACATGTACATTTCGAACATATAATACACATTACACTAATTTTTACAAATAAATGTTATATATATATATATATGCGTGGGGCCAGTAACTTATTGGTTAGGACGTCCAACTCCTAGTCAATAAATCTCAGGTTTGAAACCAATTCCACCAAATTTGATTCCGCCGATTATGTAGTATTATTAGTCCACAACAAAGTACCTGGTGAATAAGCTAAAACAAGAATATAGCTGTTGGGATTTCTAGATATATGTGTTTATCAAAGTGTAACGATGATATTTGGTACATTATAAAGCAACACAACGAACATACCATGATGTCGCTTCATCTTCTTCTGACCACAAGAACCTCCCATGCTCTTTTATAACGTCAATATCTGTTTTATCCTTTGAACTGTAATGTAAATTGTACGTAATCAAGGAGACAAAATTACGTGTCACGTCGGAAGTCCTTCCATGATCCACCGTAATATTGCAAATAGTCATTCACCAACTTTTTATGACGTTCGAACTTTAGAATAAGTTAAGGGTAAGGTAATGCTTCTCCTAAAAAGACTTCTCAAACAGATAAATAAGGGCTGGATTGTGAGACAAATAGACTTATTAAAACAATTTTCACAGATCACGATACAACAAAGATACTCTGGGCAGTGATCTGTGTGCGTATATAGAAGCAAGCAGTTCAGTTCAGAGACAGTTGACCACCCAATACAAAAGTAACACACATTTCCACTTACGTAAAGAGAAGTTTTACTCACTTCCTTCACATTTCAGTAGTTTAATGAAAACTGACCTTTAGTGGTCAAACCAATCAAAGGATACAAAAAGACTAATTCTTATATAATGTGAATTACAAGTTACTAGTAATGTAATGGACTGACGGGAAAACACTACTCTGTTACTTTAACTATTTTAATATTTATAGAAGTTATATTTTGTTAGTCGGTAGCATTTAGTCATGGAAAATGAATTCAGAGATATTTTAGAAAGCTTGCTCATCAGTAGCGACTGTAAACAATGACCAAAATAACGAATACTAAACTTGTACACAAAGAGTAGAAGAAAAGCTGATCTTAAAAACAAAAAAACGTTTAAAAACTACAGGTTAGAGTGCATGGATTAACAAAATTGCAGTGACAGGACTACAGTTTACAAGTTAAAAAAACAACTGCTTTCTAAATCAGAAGTGTTCAACTTGACGTGAATGTAGGGAATACTAAAAATGTCAAAGTTACACGTATATATGAAACACATGAAATGACGAGAAAACCAACCAATAAATATGCAATCTAACTATAGTATAGTAAGAACATACAAATTAAAAACCAGAGTAAACATCGAGGATGCGAAATAGAGCTAACAATGAGCAAAATCTATGGTCACTGATTCACGGTATATGGAGAGGTTTAGTTTGGTCGACATTTTCCACATCAGAAGTAACGGAGTGCAACATATTTCGAAACATACTCCGAGTTTGTGGGGGAAAATACACTCACCATTTCATTATTTTCAGACAATAAATAAGGTGCATTCACCTTTGTTTGATTTCTATATATCGTAATCTGAATGAATTCACATCGTTGTTCAGCGAAGGTTTCAGAGGAAAAGCAAAATCAGTGGTTACATTCACAGGTTTCCCCATCTTGCATTACACTACTAAGGAAAACTCAATGACATTTTTGTCAGCTAGCAGGCCATACATACAAAAATGGTGAGTTTAAACAGATAATTTACTACCATAATTATGAAGGTCAAAGGATACAGCATTAAGGTTTAGCAGGTGATGTCGTATGGTTGAATTGTAGGCTCTACAGAAAAATGACATATAGCATTTAAACATACCTTTTATTTTCTGCATCCAAAATCGCTTTCGAGTTTCCATACGCTGGAAAACGAGGCCTGAGAGGTTTTTCCCATAGCTCCTTATCCTTAGAAGGAGGTATGTCAGATTGGCTACCACAATTTAGTAGACAAGTATTTTACAAAATCATAGAAAAATAACAACCTTATCTCACTGCCACGGTCGATATTACTGGAAGTTTCGGATTCATAATCCGAAACGTACTCCCTCGACTCAAACATTCTCGCAGTAAAGATTCAGTCATAAAACGAGCTGTACAGAAACCCAATGTCCAATAACTTTTGGAAGGTTGAAGTAATTTTGTGACGAGCTAGTGCAAAATGTTTGGGTTTTCCGCTCTCACTTCTTTGCAACACGGTATGGTTTCAGTCTTCAGACCTTTGTATTAAGGATAAGAGGTATATCAATAAAGACGCGAGCGCTAATTAAAATGACAGTTGTATTTTTACTCACTGAGTAAATTCTATTGTTTATCAGGTATCAAGACTACTGTTTTCACTTTTATTGAATTTATTTCAGTTAAAGTATTCGATTAGAGCGTCGTTTCTGTTTCTGAATTAGTTTGTCGTCGGTACTTTCGAGTATTTTGCGTCCTTTTGTATCTGTTAGTACTTTTGGTTCTAAGAATCTACAGTTTTCCACTTTTTTGATCATAGATCATTTTTTCCCTGAGTATTATTGCATCTAGTTCTTTTTTAAAGAAAACGACCCCTGTTTAATGGCTGGACAGTGCGAAAAAAGCCATTGACAACGTCCAGGTTGTCGTTATCCCGTTGAAAGCGGCATGCAGTGCGATGCGTCCAAAGGCTGGTACCACGAAGTTTGCACGGATTTAACGCCTGCGGCTTTCAAACGGTTCAGCAAAAACGGTTGCGTATGGCTTTGTCAACAGTGCTGTTCGGATGCAAACAGTTTGCTAACCGAGGCCATCTCATTGGTTAATGCTGCAAAAAAGTGTTTTGGCAAGTGTGGTCGGGACACATCGAACAGTCCTCGCTCTGTCGACACACAAATCGATGTAAAGCGAACTCTGGTGAGTTCGGAAACGGGTGACTCACACAGACCAAAGGAGGAAAAAGTCTTCAAAGAGGTCTCTTGTAGCGGTAAATAAATCCCCAAAATAAATAGCACTAAGTTTTCGACATTGGATGCTGACCATATGTTTTAGTGGACTCACCTAGCTGAAGGCGCTCGGTCAGTCATCCGCACCAGATCACGTGTGGTAACGCCGTGCTCAACATCAACCGCAATCGCTAGCCAGATTAGATCAGAGAATTCCGATATATTGGTCATCGCCAAATATACTCTTCCGATCTCCTCGACTCTGTCTTTTGATTTCTCTGGGCGGGAACGAAATATATTAGAAGGTGTTACTGGTAGAAGCGTTGTCAAACACTGAATACCTGTGACATCATCATTGGTGAAACCGACGTGATCTGGTACACCTAATTGCAACTGTGAGTCTGTTCCTTTTTGGGATTTTTATATATCATTGCCTTATTTTTTTTTAACTTTTTTAAACATTGTGATTTTTTTTTCGTGTTTTTTCCTGGATATATATATTTTCCCCTTGTTCATTATCGTACTTCATACTTCATCATGACTGAACAGACACCTAAAGTACTCAAGCTTAAGACTTTGTCCCCGCCTTCGTTTCAACTGATGCCTTTCTGGCCCGACAACATCGAAGCCTGGTTTTGCTACGCAGAAGCCGACTTTTCCGAGCACGGCGTGATCGACACACGTGCACAATTCCTCGCAGTAGTCAAGGCACTACCGCGCGAATTCAACAGGTACGTAACACCTAGTATGTTTACTAGTGATGTTTCCGATCCTTACGAAATCTTAAAACGCTCGATTCTTAAACGAGGAGACCTAACCGATCGACAAAGGTTAGATCAACTCTTCAACAATATCGACCTGCAACACGGTTCTGCGACAGACATGTTGCAACGGATGAGAGAGGTTATAGGCCCAAGAACTTTCGACGAAGGCCTATTCAAACAACTCTACTTGTCAAAACTTCCCCAACAGGTGCAAGCAGTTCTGGTCTCGTTCCAGAACAACGCCTTAGACGAGCTAGCTGCATCTGCCGACCGCATATTAGAAATTACGAAATCTACTACCGAGGTATTTTCAGTCAAAGAAAAACCTCAAACGACTCAGAATGATATAAACGACTTATGTCACACACTCACGCGTTATCTTAGTCTTCGTAACGACCGTAAGAGATCGCGCACACCACGTAGAAGCATTTCTCGTAAGCGATCTGTCTCTAGACCACGAGAGACAGATAACCCCGACTGGTGCTGGTATCATAACCAGTATGGAAAGCTTTCCAGAAATTGCAGAAAACCCTGCAATTTTCCCAACACGAAACCGACTGATTCGAAAAGCAATTCGGGAAACTTCCAAGCCGGCACGCGTTAACGGCAACCGTAGCCGGCGAACAAAGCCGTCTGTTATTCGTCACAGATGTGACAACGAGAGTTCGCTACCTCGTCGACACTGGCGCAGAAGTTAGCGTTCTCCCAGCGATTCCTAACGACCGACTACACGAATCGACCCTAAACTTACAGGCGGCAAACGGAAAACCGATCGCTACGTATGGCAAAAGGTACGTTTACCTTAACGTGGGTTTACGCAAACCCATCCACTGGATTTTCGTTGTTGCAGATGTTTCTATGCCAATCATTGGTATGGATCTTCTACAACACCACAATCTGATCATCGACACGCGCAAACGGAGGCTAGTAGACGGTAACACTAATTTGTCCGTTTGCGTAACTTCTTTTACTGGTTGTAGAGTATCCCCAGTCACAGTTAAACATATGATAGACCCACTCTATCAACCACTACTCGATAAGTACCCTGAGATACAACAAACTCAAACGAAACTACCGTGTGTAACCAGCAATGTTACACATCACATCACGACTACAGGACCACCTGTATTTTCTAAAGCACGCCGACTAGCTCCTGAAAAACTAAGGTTAGCGAAAAACGAATTCGATCACATGATGGACTTAGGAATCATACGACCGTCAAGTAGCCCATATGCATCTCCGTTGCACATGGTCCCTAAAAAGGACAGCAACGATTGGCGTCCAACTGGTGACTATCGGCGATTGAACGCGAAAACCATTCCCGATCGTTACCCGTTGCCTCACATTCACGATTTGACAGCTACCTTGAAAGGTACAACTGTCTTTTCGAAAATCGACTTGGTCAAAGCGTATAACCAAATCCCTATGGCTACTGACGACATACCGAAAACAGCTATCATAACTCCTTTCGGACTCTATGAATTTTTGCGTATGCCTTTCGGTCTAAGGAATGCTGCTCAAACATTCCAAAGATTCATAGACGACGTTTTTCGAGGTCTCAACTTCGTACACGCGTATGTTGATGACTGTCTAATCGCAAGTCCGGACAGAGAAACACATCTCAAGCATCTGGATCTTGTCTTCGAACGACTTCAAAAACATGGCATAACTGTAAACGTTCAGAAATGCCAATTCGGAACCGACTCGTTAGACTTCCTAGGACACACTATCGATGCTCAAGGCATTCGACCTCTTAGGACCAAAGTGGCGGCCATTCTGGATTACCCAGAACCGACCACCGTCAAGCAATTACGCACGTTTAACGGCCTCGTAAGTTTCTATAGACGTTTCATACCGAAATGCGCATTACTCATGAAACCTCTGACCGACCAACTTCGTGGAAATGCGAAATCCATTAATTTGGACGAAACCGCACGAAAAGCATTCTCCACAGTTAAGGAACTGATTGCTAAAGCAACAATGCTCGCACATCAGGACACCCGAGCACCCATTAGCATCGCAGTAGACGCATCCGACTCGGCAATCGGAGGAGTCTTACAACAATGGGTTAACAACTCCTGGGAACCCTTGGCATTTTTCTCTAGACGGTTGCTAGACACCGAATCGAGGTACAGCACATTCGGTAGGGAACTCCTAGCTATGTATTGTGCTGTACGGCATTTCAACACTACATCGAAGGTCGTGAATTCACTCTTTTCACGGACCATAAACCGCTCACTTTCTCGTTAAGCTCTCCTTCTGACAAGTACTCTCCCCGTGAGTCTCGACAACTGGACTACATTTCGCAGTTTACTTCAGATATTCAACACATCTCTGGAGCAAACAATGTAGTTGCAGACGCTTTATCTCGTATAACTTCCTTGAACAGTTTCCAAGGAATCGACCTTCTTAAACTCGCCGAGCTTCAAAAAGAAGACACTGATCTTCAGCACGAGTTATCGTCCACAACACTTAAACTACGCATCAAACAGATGGGAACAGGTAAGGAAACCTTACTTTGTGACACATCTACAGGTAGGGATCGCCCAATCGTGCCGAAACATTATCGACGCAATGTCTTCAACACATTGCACAAACTTTCGCATCCAGGTGTTCGTGCAACCATCAAGCTTATAGCAGAAAGGTTTTGCTGGCCTGGAATGAATAAAGACGTGAGGGAGTGGGCACGCTCCTGTGTAAGCTGCCAAAAATCTAAGGTTATCAGACACAACAAATGTCCCTTAGGCTCGTTTAAAACTCCCGATGCTCGTTTCGACCATGTTCATCTGGATTTGGTAGGACCTTTACCAGATTCAAATGGATACTCTTATCTCTTAACCTGCGTAGACCGTTTCACTCGATGGCCAGAAGCAGTACCTATCAAGGACATCACTGCTGAAACAGTGGCTCGCACCTTCGTCGAACGATGGGTAGCAAACTTCGGTTGCCCTTCAACCATCACTACAGACCGCGGACGTCAATTTGAATCTGATCTTTTCCGTCGTCTGACCACTCTTTTAGGAAGCACTCGCTTCCGAACGACCGCCTACCATCCACAAGCAAACGGGTTGGTAGAACGTTTTCACCGACAACTGAAAGCTTCGCTATCAGCTACAAACGTTTCACAGTGGACCGACGCTCTTCCACTCGTCTTACTAGGTATCCGCAATGCAGTGAAAGCTGACATTGGATACACTGCGTCTCAACTCGTTTATGGTACGACACTTCGACTTCCAGGAGAATTCGTGGATCCTTCATCCTCTTCAATGAACATGGATCTAACCTCCTACACGAACAGGCTTACAAACGCAATGCGTTCAGTTAAACCTGCTTCCACCCGACCTCAATCGACTGATGTTTTCGTTCAACCTGACTTACGATATAGTACACACGTT